TTCTAACCCTTAATAAAGAATTTTACACAGCGACTACACCACAGAAGATAATAATCTGTTTCCCTACTTTTTACGTAGGCACACCATCGTTACCCCTAATAACCATCACTTGGGTCTTCTTTGAATCCATTTGCCAGTTTAGTGTGATAATTACTTAGTTTTGCGTGATTATACTTGGGCTATCACATTTTTGATTTCCGTTTTTTTCGTGGTAGCTCTAAACGATCTCGCGGTAGCTCTAAGCGAACCCATTGCATATTAAAGATAATTTTGAATTACCTCGATGCCACTATCCTGTACCACTTCATGAGGTTGTTCACTTAATGTTGTTGCCCAAAATGAGTTGCATAAGAAAGTCAAGCGATTGCTTTAGTTCCACTGAGTGTATATGTGTATGGTTCTAACTTACGGAGTTTGTATTGGGCTGTTTTTCATTTTCAAAGTATGTGACACCGTAATACATGACAAGTCTGTTTTACAGTTTATTGATTCACACTAAACTTTTTTATTTACATATTCTTAAATGCATTAGTTGAATCATAAATACATATGTATATGGATAGTCTCAGTTGTTTGTACTGGTGTCGGTCATTCCTCTCGATATGAGATTTAACATACTGAAGCGTTTTCCGCCGTCGCCCATACCATCACCGCCATCAATCTTGAAAAAAAAAGCTTCCAGTAGGGAGATTGACGACAACAATACAATTAAAATTAAGATAATGCGTGTTGGTACCATGATGACTTTCCGTGCTGAAAAAAATAGATACAAAATTCAATGCTTTATTTAGGGTAATTTACGTGCATATACTATGTACAAGTATGTTATATCCTATCAACGTTATTGAAACATCAAGTATTCGCACACGTATTCGAAGTTGAAAGGTTTATGTTTGTAGTTTTGTGTCGTAGCAACGTATACATATCCACAGTCCCTCAACATCCGGTTCGGAAATTCTATTATTCTAAGGTGTGATATGCCCGAGTCACGTGTAAAGTATGTGTTGCGCTCGTGGGGAGACGGTGGTGACGTCATAGCAGTTTCTTCGAGCTCGTTTGAAGCACTTTTGTTCAGTGTTACGTCTACAAATATTGCGTGTTTTTGAGCAAAGTCGGCAAATTTTATTTAAAGTTGCAAGTTCCTGTGTGATCATATTAGTATCGTGAAAAGGCAAGTGTAGTTTAAAATCCGTATTCATTATAAATAACGAATAAGAATATGATTTCAAACTTTGGCAGCTATGTTCATTCATTATTACTGTATGCG